TTAAGACATTTTGGTAATTATCAGCATGATTTAAGCTGAAAGCATATGTGAATTCAAACTTACGTATTCCCTGTAAATTTCAAACACTCAATGCACCATGAACAGCGGTTAAAATTGAGTTGTTCTATGAGTAACTATTGAAGTGCTAAATAGACAACAAATTATAAACACTAAGTTAACAGTACATTGATTTTTTAAAAGTAGTATTGTTTCGAATCTATAACATTAGAAAGAATTACATTAATTTTGTCGAATAACTTGTTTCCCTATTCATGTTTCTGAGTTGATAAATTTGAAGTTTTACAACTTTCAGCCTATGGTTCCTATTGTTTGCTTTAGCTGCCTCTTGGTTCAAATGATAGTCAAATTTATTTGTGATAAAGTGACTTATTTATGACACATTTCGACCTTATTAACAGAAATGACTTTTTTTTGTATTTCAAAGTATAATTCTGGTTAGAAGGAGTAATTAGACAACAAGATAAACATTGAACTTCCCAAACATTTGTCGTTAGATAAAGGGAGAGTATAATTGGGTGACTAAAATGAATTCCTAACTGTGTCAACCGAATTCATATGCTGGTCATTTATCTTAATTGTTTAACTTACAGTTCTGTCAGTGGCTTACATATATGAGAATTAATCGACTTTATTCGCCAGTCTGTCTTCTTTTACACTTGTTACGTTCTATATATGTCTCCACCAACACCGTATGTTCATAATGATGGTTATAATTGTTTTAATGTTACTATTTCGTGATGTAGAGATTGAATAATGACAAAAAGGGTTTCGTAGAATATTTAAATGTTTCATATATATATACGAGTGTACGGCTTGGTAGTAAATTCGTTGAAAAGAATCTTCTTCGCTGAATATCTTGTTTCTGACCTCTTAAAGGTTTATCTAAAGCTGCAATAATCAGGCTAAGATTAGTTTGACATTTAGGTCAGCTGGTACTGACCATAGGTTAGCTTTTATTCCATCTAGCGCAAGGGCTTCAGAGTAAAAAAGTTCACGTTAGAATGGGTATTTCTTACGGTGATATGCCGTTTGATATTTCATAGGCAATAGAGTAGTGTGCGTCTCACGGTGTATGCGAAGTACAGTGAAGGCTTAGGCTACGTGCTCGCTATCTCTCCTAAGTGATATGCTGTTAGGACTGAGTTTCTCGGTGTGCTTGCCCATGTTTCTGGTATGAGTTGCAGTTCAACGACATGGTTCACTCTGGTGATTGCATCAGCCGTCACTATTGGACGCTGAAAGCGGTGAAGCTCGTATCATCCATCCTCAGTGGGGAATGGACCTTTAGAAGCAGTCGCTGACTCACTGTCAGACATGATCAATTGTCTGCTAACCACATAGGAAGTAAAGATTGAAGTGTCTGGGCACCAACGTTTAACCACGGTGGCAGTGTGGTTGGTATTAGTTGAGTAATGAATGTGAAATACGAATGGCCTTAGCCAAACAGTGCAATCTCTGCCATCCCTGCTGCAGAGGTAGGGGTAGATACTCAAGACTTCAGGGCCTTTACCGTTAGTAAGAGTGCATGTCGTTATGTGTACATCGTTTTCATGCATATGCACTTAATTGAAAACTGGTCCATTGATTGGTGACATTTAGCTCACCTGGAAATATATATATATATATATATATATATATATATATATATATATCAGGGTGGTATTCATCACTGATTGAAATCACTTAGAGAGCCATTAGAAACCTGGGAACATTCGACATTTGTTTCGTCCTAGTGTGGGACTCCTCAGCAGTACACGACAGCCACTCCGCCTGAGACTTAGCAATTTCAGGTCCATTTACGTCAAGAGAAACAGCTATCCAGTACTATCAGGTTTTCAGTGGTTCTTCAAATGATTTCAGTTTGTGGTGAATGCTACCTGAAAATAAATAAAATCCTCATAAACCTTAAACTATATATATATATATATATATATATATATATATATATATATATATATATATATATATATATATATTACAACAAACCTTAATTATTACCAAACAGTATTACTGTGATTTATTTATTGACTAGTTGATTTTATTGATCACGTTCATCACTTCTTTCTCCTTCACAAAAATACATATGCATATGTTAAACTTATTCATGCCGTTGCAGCTTCATACTAATAAGTATGATAATGTGTACAAATAACTGCATCAACTATCGTACAAAACAACGACTTGTAACTATATATGATGTGGGTGTAGAATACATTTAAAAAATTGAAATGTACGCACAATCTTACACCATAGTCATTTAAACCTATATTGATGACGTTCATTTTGATGATGTCTTAAAAGTGAAAACTTGCATGTTGTATATATATATATATATATATATATATATATATATATATATATATATATATATATATTATTAATCCCAGTGTACCAAACAATGTGCTTTTCAGTCCAGTCAGCTGTCGGCAGGCACCCTTTCTATGTTACCTTCAACTGTGTAAATCAATTTAGTTATAGCAGCTGAAACATATACTTTGGAAGAGCAGAAAAAAAGGTGTATCTTAGATTTTCTGAACACATTCAGAAAAGCCTACAACTGAGGGGAAGTAATACTTTGAACAGTGAAATCACTCGGTATCTGCCTGACATTTAACATCAAGCAGATGTCTTCACTTCCTTCAAGATAATGAAATAAATGAGCTCAATTCTCCTAAAGGTTGCTGAAACCATAGCCGTTAAACGCTTCGAACCTGATTTATGTGTCCAAAAAGAAGCTATTGTCAGCCTTTGTCTACCTTGGTAGCCTTTCATGACTGTTATTTAATCACATCAACCTTTATCAAATTTAGGTGTTAATTCCTTCACTTCTATCCATTTACGTCATCTTTTGTTCATGTAGGATTTTTTTAACCAAATGAGTTTAACTGACACTATTTGACATGTTTTGCTTATTTATTGTATGATCTACTTAATCTTATAAAAATAAGTCCCTCTATTTGGACTAGTGCTCTTCTTACTTTATTCAAGGAGCTTCTATTGGATTATACGTATAACTATGACCATTTACTAACTAATTTGCTGTTGTGACTGACCCTTACCCTATAACTGTTTCCATCCATCTCAACCTCTGACTGATATTTTGTTTTCTTTCAATGAATTAAAGTATTAATGACGGATAGCGACTAACAGTGAATTTCAGGACGCATATTTCGTCCTATTTGGAACTTGTCAGCTGGATGTATCTGCCTCGCAGTGAGTGATGTTGTTCCCACTAAGATTTGAACTCAGAACCGATCGCTTTAAACGGCAGAACCTTTTTGCACCGGGCCACTGAGTTACGATAGCCACCCCTTACGCATCAGGAATAGTTTTTAGGTTATTACTTCTAATTTCCCGCCGTTGATTGGATCGAAATGACTAACCTCTATTGATATATGGGCTCCTGCGCCGATGCTTCGATATTGCTTATGGTTTCAGTTTGGTAGTAATGATTGATTATGATTAGGAGTGGAATGTAGGACGTAGGTATGTATGTTATGTATCTCAAGTTCTCAGTAAAACTATATATTTTGATATTCTAGGTTGTGAGCAGTCGACAAGATATACCGAAATAACAAGAATTCATTTTATCTCACCATCATTGGTGTTCTTGCTCTTTTCAAATATATATATATATATATATATATATATAACGTAGGTTCATGGTTTCCTGCTGACTGCTTCTGACCAAATAATATCAATCAAAGTGTATCAGGACGCCGAGTCCTTCGGTTCAGTGATCACATTGGCAAATGATTTGCAGAATCTAGCCAGCACTTAAGACTAGAAAAACATGGAATCACTTACTCTCCAGTGACCGATCAACGCAACTTGTATTCTTTCTAAGTAGTTCATTCATTTTGTGATTCATTTCTTTGACGAATGATTTTTTGATACAAGTTCTCTATGAATTGAGATTAGTACTGTTGGGTGGACAACTGGTACACTACTTATCATTCAGACTTCATGTTTCAAGCATTTTTGAAAAGGAAAACTTTCTTCAGAAGACATATGTCGTCAGCTGCAAGCATTTGAAATGTATCTTTACAACTTGAAAACTTTAGACGTAAAACTGCCTGAATTTTAGTAGTTTTAAGCTCTATATATGAAGTATGTTCCATGCAGACATGAATAAGATAACTAATTTAATCATACAGAAGGCTTCTGATATAAACACATTTAAATTTCACGTTACGTATCAAGATTTATTCCGTGAGAGGATCTGTACTTGCTATTTGTTGAAACTCGTCAGTGAGACATTTGTGTAAACAGAAGAAACTGATTTTGCATCGAAGGCTAACATTCGATGTGATTACTAAGCCAAATGAAATGACACTGTGGTTCACCGTTCTCAGTTTAGATTTGAGAAATCAATAGACAGACTAAATTTTGTGCTCTTTGAAGCTCATCGACAAGGTGTGTCTGAAACCTTGATGAAACTTATGTCAATCACTCTTAATGACGTGTATGCACCTACCACAAACAGCAGAGAGTGCGTATTTCTTCATCTGAATCTTTTGTAGCTAGTTTTTGGGATTATTTTTTAACATTAGGGACAAAATCCGGTATCTTGGTTTCTGTTTGTCTGAAGCGCACCAATAAGAGATATTTAAAATTTGGGAGCGAATCCCATCCTGCTTGATAAATAAAGCTAAGTAGGTTAGTGCTTTGTCCGCACTCAACTTCTTTAAGCTACCTGTATTATCACAGTGAGCATTTTTGACGCTGAATGACTGTGGTGCAAGTCAAAGGCTTGGTAAAAAAGTTTTTGAGGTCACGGATACCCCAAGAAGCATGTTCTGTTCGCCCATAATCATTTTCCATTAAACATTTTGCAACTTAAGTATCGTATTTTTACATATCATTCAATAATTTTTCACTAACGCTGAAAACAGCGAATCATTCAATTTATCTTTTCATGAAGTGCATAAAAAAGTCAATAGCAACTAAAGCTTTTCTCAAAACGTCTTTATTTTTAGTGGCTGAGCAGCATCAGAGCGTAGTACAGCGTATTTTAAAGGATCCATTAAAAGTATCTTTGCTAGTATTGGATCCAGATTCAAAAAGTTACTTTGAAATGAGTTCAATTCCGATGGACAGTTCTATGATGAATGTCAAGAAAATGAAATGTCCACCGTCAAACCAATGTAAGTATTTATTGTTATATTGTCAAAATTAAGTGAGAATTTAGTGGAAATTCTGGGTAAATTAAATTTTCATAACTAATTGTTAATTTGAACATGGTGCAAAGATCTTTCTGAATGACTACTTACTAATAGGAAGAATGGTGGTTAATGTGACAAAACAACGTGGTTTCTTATGAGACTCTTATAATAATCTCCGTCTAGACCAGGTGTACTATGAAACCAGACTAGTAGGCAAGTGTAAATCTCACTTTAGTCGTGCAATACTACTTCCATATTTTCTGCAGATCAGATACACAGATACACAAAGTTTTGTATCATACCACCTACTCATCAATATCTTCTTGTTCTTGCTCACTAGTTGATAATTTTACATTGAATTTTTCCACAGCTATCGAGTTTTTTTTACTGGTAAAGAGTAATACTGTTAGAGTAGTTAAAAGTGTAGGCTTACATTTTTTAGTTTTGCTGAGTATATGCAAATCTTGAGGTTAACATAATTCGTACTTATAGTTTGTTTTACTTGAAGGTTAGATTCTACCTGTTTTACTTTAGTCATATTTTCTCTAAACAAATGATTGTATTATGACACATAAAACTATGGTTCTAGTTTTTTGGTCCGGATTTTGTTTGAAATATTTTCAGTTGGTGAACCTGCAGTTCGGTTCTTTAATTTCATTTGTTAGTTGATCATAGGGTGTCGATAGCACGATGTTGTAGGCTTAATTCATAAATCCATCCGCCAAAAATTCTAGTTTATAATTAACCAAACACAATTAATAGGTGAAGTAATTTCTGCACTTGCTTAATTTAGAGGGATAAAATTATCATATAAAATCAAGACTGAAATTGTTGAAAAGATTCATCAGATTATCATCTTTAAGCTGAATAAAAATGGTTTCTTAACTGTTTGTTTTCAACATTATTTCAGTCTCATACATAGATGTCCTTGAATTAAAGTGGCATTTTAAAGTGGCATTTTAAGTCACTCGAAATACCTTTGTAGATACTTTTTGGTAGTTGTCAACAGAAATATGATGCACCCAAATCAACTGTTTTGCTGTTGTTTTCTGTATTGTCACAGCTAAATTACATTGATGTTAATTGTTCTGAATTGTAACAGTTCAAAGGTGACAGGATCAGTTTCATACCGATATTTTCTGATTACGATATGATTTAGCTGTTACCTAACAAAATTAACTCAAGAACTGTCAGTTATCTGTTTACAGAAAGTTTTTATTATTTCACAAAGTAGTATATAGAAAAAAAAAATTTATCAAATATATGCATCTTCAATAGATTTATTTTTCAAGGATTATATGTATGTTAATGAGAACAACTGGTTATAATCAACCGGAATCCAATGGTTCATGGACTTGTGGCTCATTGGTTTAGGGAATTGACTTTTACCCAATGGGTCACAGGTTAGAACACCACTCCACCAACTGAAGTTTGGGCAGCAAGATAGTATCATTATCCCTCATACAATAGGTATGACACACTGCCAACTGCATAGATGTGCACAGGGTTGTTGATTGGATTTCAGGTTCGTAGAATTTACTATTATAGGTTCAATGAGACCAGATACACGTTCAGTAGAGACCATCATCCAGAGATAAGGTTTTCCTGAGCTACTTAGTATTCTTGAGTCAGTCTATGAATGTATCTCTATCAGTACTATTGTTTGTTCAACCATAGATTTGTATATGTGATGTTATTACTCGTGCCAAATCAAGCCAATTATTTAAACTGAATAATTAACCTTTTATAGAGCAAATCACGGTAATATTTACCGTTGATAATAATGACTATTTCTACCTGAAAATACTAAAATACTCTGTTATAATGGCAAATAAACTAATATACTTGGTATTATATGATGGACCAGATAGCTGAAAAGTATAACTGACAAAAGCAAACGACTGTAACAACCTACACATCTCACCATTTGAGTATCACTGCAGTTGCCGTGGTCCAAATTTTCATTTTCACCTTCAATCATCACCCAAACTACGGCTATCTCAGATAGTCAAATGATATACTTTTCATGTCTATGAGTTACGAGACAAGATATTTGAAACCCTTTTAGTAGTAGTCTTACTTTCGCTACGATTAGATTTACTGGTAATCAATACTTTGTCCTTAAAATGCAATAATAACTAATGTCTAACAAAATCATTTGAGAGATGAAATGATGAACATATTTTACAGTGAATTGACTACTGTCTTTAAAGAAAACTGTAACAGAAGGAAAGCAATCACTAAAGGATCTATAGAAAGCTTGTAAAAATAGTTACAATATAACACTGTAAAATAACTCTTGAAGAAATTTCCCTTAGAAATAATTGGCTAATACACACTCACTCAGGTGAATTCTACTTCTTCATATCGTCAGCACGTGATAACACAATCACCTTGTTGACATTCAAGCTAATAATGCTCCATGGATTCACATACTTCACTAACTTTAACAGGTGATTGTCAGCTAATGAATACTGTTTCTTAGTTGCTAAGTGATAAAAATCTTTTGTATGTTTACTGTAAACTGTACTGTATTATTCTAATTGTTATTGATGAGAATATCTGAGATAACTGCAGCTCATACAGATTGGCATGATTGACACAGCGGTTGTCATTTCACTTTCAATCATCGCCTCATTTGAGTAATTTAATTATTTTACTCTGTTCACCGATTCAATTATATATTGAATGCATTTTTGAAAGATGGTGTAATCAAAAACGTGGCCTTCTGAATTTCTTTGTAGTTAATGCTGAAAATTCAAGGCGAAAACGATACAGCTATGCAATGATTCTTAGTCCTCATTGTTTTGTAATCGATATCACTTAATCATTAGAAGAGTCAACTTTAGATTTGTTCACATTGTGAAGCTAAGTTTCATTTTCATTTTAGAAGACTAATATCACAATTTATCAGCTGAGGGTACGGTTCTATTTATATCAAATTCTTGCACTGCATACATTATTGGTTCAGTACTACATCAGGGTGTATTTCTTACCATTTTTAGTAATTACAATTGCATGTATTCAGCAACCATGTGTATGCTAGTGCAATGAACAATGAGCCCGGCCAATGAAGACTAATGATACTATCAGTTAGATGGAGGAGGGTTTGAATCATGACCCAGTGGTTTAAAGTTAACAACTTAAACCAATGAGGTACAGCTGCACTACATGGACTTATGTAATTTAATAAATATGTGTAAATTAATTCCCTCTACTGTTTTTAGGTAAGACGTAGGTTAGCACACAATCTCAATGCTATCTGAGTTCATTTTACGAAATAATTCCCACTAAGGTACGTAGATTTATTAGGAACTTAGAGCAGTTTTAGCAAGAATACTAGTTTATTAACAGATGTTTTTTTTTTATAAGTAGCCGTTTCAACGATGTGGGTGATCGGAGAAATCAGTATATGCCACTTTGATGTGCAGAAATGCTTGAAGTTTAGTTGACCTCAAGGAAAACAGTATCCTCATAATCCTATGGATACAAAATTTTTCTTACTACAAAATGTTGTTTGTTATATAAATATAGCTGGGTGATAATGCATTGTGCTATGGTGCCTCATATGTAGACATATTTTCATTGAAATCATGAATAAGTTCTTCTAACTATTGTTTTCATTAATGGGACACTCACTGTAAACTTATCGTAGACTTTCGATGGTCTGTTTTTTTTCAATTAAAAAAAATATCTTTGTATACTTCAACAACTGAAACCTGTTCTCAAAGTTTCAACGTACTGTTTTTATAATTATTCTTTTTATCAAATAGCTTCAAGTGATGTTCCTGTAGTTAATGGACATAGCAAGTTGGTAAGTTATGTTGTTTCAAAATTCGTGTATCTTTGTTACATTTCTCTGCTTTCATCAAACTTGTTTTTCAATGAAATGGGTTAAATTTGATGACATTTTTTACCACCTACCGATATTAGACTAAGATATTATCTAGTATATGAAAACGTATTGATTACTTTATTTCTATGGTGAAAATTCAGAGAACTATGAGGGAGAGTTACATGACTGTACTATTCTGAAACACTTGAATAATAGTACAAAGTATGGAGTTTAAAATGCATGATACATTTGTGAATTATTGAATACTAATTAGTGAGTTATTCCAAAATACCCAGTTCACAGTCATAGACACACACACGCACGAACATGCGCAAGCGTACAGAGAACACAATGTGTATACCAAAGATGCGAGATTATTTTCTGATGGCTAGTGAATAGTTAACTAGCAGATATAACATATAATTCTGTGCATTGTTGGCTAATCACACTAGACTACATTTCATTTCAGTATTCTAGCTGACATGGTTACTGTAATTTACTTCACATATGCATTTAACGTTTTCCTAAGTCTCTGGACAAATTCTCTTATTGAATATAATGCGATGCTAAGCGATGATCTAAACCTTTCTTCAACCTTTATTCAGTCATGCGATATTAGGTATAGTATCGCATATACTGTTTCGCTTATTTATATGGTCTTACCACATACATTGACTGATTTAATTCTTCCTTTACCTATGAGGTTCACAGCTGAATGTTACGGTGAAAACTAGACGGTGGCAAATATTTACCACCCCAGCTTAAGATTCATATGTTGCTGTTGTATTGTTTAGACTTGGTTTCTGTCGCATAAAAATATCAGTACTGTTTTCAGTCATTGCTTATTTCTAACTCAGAAGTGAGTGGTAATGTTGAGGCCTGTATGGACGGAATATTTAACTCGGTTAGCTGCACGTGGATTTAATTATTCAGATGTCAAGATTAACAGGTTATTATCAGTGTGTGTAACCAACTACCTTATTTCATAATTTGCTATTAGACACAAATGAAAACCCTTTCAATGCTCCTGTTCATTAAATATGGACTTTTGTGTCTGCATCGCTATTTTGGATTCATATTTGTGCTGAAAACGATCAATGAAAGTCACCCTTATGTCTGGAATCTTCAGCAATGTGTCTTCATACCTTTTTCCTTCTAGTTATAGTATTGCTTTTAAAAATTTACGATGCTTTAGCCTCGTCACGAACAATCTACTGGTTAGCCTGCAAGTCTATGAGTTTTACTGATTGTATACAGCGGCATAATGATAGTAGTTAGGTTCTTAAATTTTATGTAGGTGGTTAACTCTTTGACAGTGAAGTATCTGTACCACTGAGTTTTGAATTTTGGTGTTTGTTGTATCGGCTTGTGATGAAATAAAGTTGTTCACAGATCAAATCATACATGAGGATTGAGTTGTTCACGCCGCTTTTTTTCTGAACACAAGAATAACTTTATGCATGTTAATGACTCCTTTGTTGACATGATTTAGTCATTTCCTGTGCACGATGAATCATCATATCAGCTGATTCAAGGAAAACACCCACGTTTTCTAGCAATTCTATGAAAGGTCGTATTTGTAAAAATTTATACAATATGTACGAGACCTTACAAGTGGTAGATGTGCAGTCCAAACCAGGATCACACTGCCTTAGTGCTGGATAATTTACTGATTCTGTTATATTTTTATGTCTTTCTGCTACTTTTTTTACCTCTGGTTGAGACAAGGTGAAAGCAAAAACATGAGATCGAACTTACACCATACAAGGTTACTGGGGAGAAACAGGCCAACTTCATGGGTGAGGAGGTTAGACAACCTGATGATTAAATAATGAGATATACAGATATGACTAAATGGGAATACTTATTTGAATTAAAAACAGTACTTCCAAAGCAGATCTTATCAATTTTATTGATTATTACTTGTCCCTTAGGTTTGTTAGTGGAACATGGGGCTTCAGTAGAACGTCACCATTCCACTCTCTTCTCTGCAGTCTTTTCAACCTGACTCCACGACTGCACACAAGCTTTCATTTCTTCCTCACACCATCTCCTCCATGTCACCCTCGGCTCAAACGCTTAACTCATCGTTTCCCCTTTAGATTCCACTCGAGGGCCTGACCTGGCACGTGATGTCCTCAGTCAGCCTTCTCAGTGTATGCCCAAACCAACCCATCTCCACTTTCTTTTTCTGCATGTTTGTTGGGCGATGGGTTGTTGGTTGGTTCGTTGCCAGCCAGAGTTCCTTGTTGCTTATTCTTATTATCTGGTCATCTGATCTGATCTGATCTTCAGTATCAAGTGAGCGTAAACAGCTGTTGATGAATGTCTGTAGTTCGTTGGAAATGCTTTTCATTATAGTGACTATCTACTTCAATGTCCCAATGAACATCCTATTTTATGAAATCATTTACATATTTAATACATAGTGAGATTTTAATGTGTGACTTTGATTTCTGATTTTACCGTCACTGATTCATTGAACCGAACAAATCAATCTCTGTTGACATGTTAACTCTGTGTGAACACCTTGGTGTATATAGCCAAACCTGACTACTGAAAATATCTAGGGGTCTATAAGAGTCCTGTTTTCCTTAAAATAAGACTGATCAGCAATGTCTTATGCATAAGAAACAGGTAAATGAAGAAATACAAGAACAAACTGGCACTAACTGAACTAGATCTGACTATCGTAGCTAGTTAGCCTAGTAGTTTATATCCTTACGTTTGAAATGATTGATGCAGGATTCAGGTTTCTGTGAGAACTATGAAACGCCACAATGCAGACACATCATGTTGAGAAGTCCTAAATAGAAGGAAATGTGTACTTCGTCTTATACCAATAGCTATTATCTAACATGTTTTGGTGTAATTTATATTTTTTGATAACTCAGCAAGAAAATTTATTAAATTTCTGACGTCTTGTTCATATAGATGTTTGCTGATGAAAACGTTTATCAGCTTAATATATACATTTCTTTTCAGGTCATGTAGTCTTCACTTTCAAACTAATGTAATATCTTACTTTGAATATCTAATCTACTGGTCTGTTTGCATAAATAAGTTTTATATATCTTTATTAATAGTCTTTATATAGTTTTTCAATAGCAAACTTACAATATTTTTGACTTTAATAGTTTGATTTCAGTCAGCCAATACCATCTGATGCAGGAAGAGATATTGTGTGATTAATTTAAGCGATTTGAATAATTCTAATGATATTTAAATCTCATCTAGTTTATGCATTCTGTGGTATGTAATATTTCGACTGAAGTCAGTACTGAATTGTGTGGTCAACGAATTCAAGTATAAAAAAGTATACTGTGAACTAATCATTAGCATGTTCTCGCTGAAGGTCATTCTTTGAAATGAAGATGAACAAAATTTGAAAGGATCACCTTAGGATTTTCTGTTAGGCTGTCTACCTCCAAGTTAACAGATTGTAATAGTGACCAAACTTCTCTCCCACTTCAGCCAACTAGCAGTTAGTTTGCTTTTTATCTCGAATACTGACCATGTAACGAAAACATTTCGGTTTGAATACAGAGTATACGTGATAAGGGTGTATTGTATAGTTTAATGAATAATTTCTGTAAATATTTACTTCTCATCCAAGTGGATTATTAGAAAAGATGCACAGGTTAGAAAAATCCGGTGTCTAAAATTGTCTATTTCATATCTTTCATAAGGTATTTCAGTCTTTTTAAGCACCGAATCGATAAACCACACCTACTGTCTTCCATGCGATTGCATTTCTAGCTCATTTTTATAGGAATCAAATGTTCCTATATAGGTAGGAAATTTGACCATCTATGCTGCCCTATGCATTAAAATAAATGTTGCCTAAAAAACTTTATAGCTACTGAAAAATTGTAGAAATTTTTATACTGATAATGAGTTTTTAAATTTTATCATCTAAACGTTTGTTTATCTATTCAAAGTTCTCTAATACAGTTAGTATTTTGCAAATTTAACAAAATTGGTTAGTCAACGATCATTAGAGATGTTAAAGCCATAAGCACTTCCACCTAATTTTATCTGACCATTCAAGTTTTTTTCAATTTTTAAGTGGTCAAATTTAGGATAAAATTGTATCGCATCGGGATAAAAACTGGTGTATAGTAAATGCATTGGTTGACTGGCCAAAATTAATTATTGAACAAAGATATCATAAAACTAATCACACTTGACTGTTAAGGCCATAGTATTTTCATTTGTAATTTTAACCTACAGTTGAGTTGAAAGGCAGATTTTTAAGTAGAAAGTGATTTTACTGGTTTTTTTACTAGGTTTTAACTGAATGAGTTGTACTGGTTTTACTTGTGCTTATGATACACAGAGGAAACATTGAATGATAAAGCAGACACTAGATTTAGAATAAGCAGTCTATCAAAGCTTGTGAAAAGTTGTACTTACTAATGAAACTACTGATGACTTGATTGAACGAAATTCAAAACAACACAGACTATAGAAAGTGATGGATGAGGAAAGTAAGGCATGTTAGCGTTTGATGAAAACGAGATTTATTTTTCAGGCGCTTTCGTTATCAAGACAAATATGAATATCTCATAAGATATTTATTCATAATTATACTGTCCTGTTAATGATTTAACTGAACAGAACCGATCAATCTGTGTTGGCATTTGTGTTACTGTGCCTCCAGATTCACTAAGATGTGATTTTTACAAGTATTAAAAGACAACAGCTAAAAGTCGTTGAAAAAGAAGTGGCTTTCGTGAGTCAGTAACCTATTGGATAGCTCTGTAGCGTTTAAATCAAGAGGTGCTGGGATCGTATCGCAGTGATAGACAGACATGATTAACATAGAACCTCAAACAGAAGTGTATCGATTCAAGTTGCCATACTTCATAGCAGCATTCAAAGAACAAGTGGATAGAAAAAGAGTGGTTCCAAAGCTGCGAGGAGGACGAAATCAGAAGTCAGGGTTAGCAAATATGCTCAAACTTTAGAAAACTTAC